TTATGGGAATTAGGGCTTATCTATTTGAATTAGTAGTCATATCTTGTTTGAGTATAATTTTTTGTAATTACTTTATTATTATTATTATTTTTTTGCTTTTTATTTCCCTTGAACACTTTGTTTTTTTTTTTTTTTTTTTTTACAGTCATATAAAGCCTACAAAGTGCTACAAAGTGTTTAGCTATGACTTTTCAACTGATATATTTTAGGGCAATTATTTTAATTAAAATATTTTTATATATATACATATATCTCTTTAACTTGCTCAATTAATATTAGTTTAATAGGTTTTATTTAGATATAAAAACTGAAAAAAAAAGACACGTATGTTATACACTGTACATATATGTATGTACATATTTATTATAATGTATACATTTTAATCAGAATAATACTTATACATTATCGTACATATTTATAATTATACACTTTAATCTGAATAATACTTTTCGTTAATTTTTCATCCGGATTTTTCAATATCTTATCAAATTCATTAAATGAGCTCCATTTTAATATGTCTGTAAAGCTGATCATAAAAACGTAACTTGCAACGTTCTGGCTGTGGTATGAACTTTAGTTCCTCATTGATATTGAGGCACATTATTGGTTCTTCCTTTGTTACGGGCTGCCAGTCGACCAGCGACTTTGTGAGCGGTCCATTTGGATTGGAGTTGCGGGCAAACTCCGTTAACAGGGCTACAAAGCGGCAGATGGTCGTGTACTCCGGTCGAGACTTCTCTAGCTTAAATGTTTGGGGCAGTTTGAAGAGGTAGCACAGCTCATCTGCATGCTGAACGCCACGAGCTTCTGGTCCTTGGTAACGAATGCGATAGAAGTTAAAATCAGGAGAGTCAAAGTCGAACCGATAGAGATAGTTGACAGCCTGGCTGTAAGCCTGTCGAGCCCGGAGCATGCGCTGCTGATAGTGCAACAGGTTGTGGGTGAAAAGTTCAGCTATCGCAGCGTGATGCTCCTCAGTGATAAAAGTGCTATGGACACCACAAAATTTCTTCACTAGATTCTGTCCCTCGTGCCGACACGCGCTTGGCTCGCAGTGCCTGAGTAGGGAATACGGCAGCGTAAACTCTGGACGCTCCCGGCACGCTTTCAATATGTTCGGATCCTTTCTCATGTTCATCATAGGATTGAACAGACCCTCGTTGCTGGTGCAACCCATCATGAGAGGCACGCGGTTGGTCCACGCAGTGCGCTGCAGCACTCGCGGCTGGTCCAGTAGCACAGCAGTGGGCGTGGGATAGTACTCTATACGTGGCAAAAATAACGGATAACCTCCGCTCTGCAAGCGCTCGTATAAAGGCCGAAAGTCCGGTAGGACCAATTGCTTGGGATCTGCGGCATTTATGAAATTGAACACATCAACATCGTTGTTCTCGCCCTCATAACCCAAATGCTTGGCCATTTCATATTCCGCATTGGGCGCATTAGCTGTCTCGGGATAAAAACCACCCATCAGGATAGCCTTATCGAATAATCCCTCCGTCTGGGGAGTTACCATCAGCAAATGCACCGTAGAACTGCCCGAGCTGTGCCCAAAGAGCGTAATGTTGTTCGCATCCCCATTGAAGCTACCCACGTTTGCCTTGATCCATTTGAGTGCTAGAATAATATCCTTTAGTCCTGCATTACCGGGTATGCGCAGGGACGGATCAGCAAAGCTCAAAAAACCTGAGAATATTTAGTATTAGGTTTGCATCAGATATATTTTTCATAAACCAACCTAATGGACCCACGCGATAGCAAATGCTTATGTAGATCACCTGCTCGCGCATGATATAGTCTGGTCCAAACCCGAATTTGGTCGGATCTCCGTTCTTAAAGCCGCCTCCATGCACATATACCATCACAGGCAAAGGCTTTTCACTACTTAACTATGAATTATTTACATATGATGAAACGGATTTCTTCGATTAGCGAAAAGCTGACTCACACTTTTGACGGCTATATTGAGGTACAGGCAATCTTCGCTACCTTCAACTTGCTGGGTCAGACTGCTCACTTGCAGGCATTTGCTTCTTGGCTTGGAGCAGTCAAGTATTCCTTCCCAGGGCTTAGCATCCTGCGGCTCTCTAAATCGCAGCTCACCAAACGGCGGCTGGGCGTACGGTATGCCATCGAAGCTGTAGTAGAGCTCACCGTAGAGCGCGGTTTGTAGCGCTCCACGCACCTGACCATGAGTGGTTTTTACCACAGGCGAAGCTTCAGTGCTGCAAAGAATTCAATTTCAATTAGTCTTGGAATTTCTCTTATATCCAACGGAACTTACTAATCCGACCCCATTTCGCTTTTGAAGCCAACTGAATGCAAAGAGCCAAAGCTTCGAGCTTATAAGGGCGCTGTGGGGAAATAAGCTAAGTGGTGAAATTACACATGACGCACCGCCAGTGCTCCGATCGGTATACCTTTTTCTTGACTTGACAAAATTATTCTCTTAACTTTGTCTGCATGACACCAACTTTTCATAAATTCACTTTATACGAAGCGTAGACTTAACTAATCTCACAATGAAGATAATATTTTTAAAATACCTAATGAACATATTTAGTAAATCAGAAAAACAAATAGAGATAGTTATTTTCTTTTTATTATTATTTTTTTTTTTTTTTTTTTAGATAGTAGCACAAATTCTTTATGGTATAAACAAAAAACGCACATAAAAAGCTGTTAGAATCCCTATGAAGTCTGGATTAGTATTAAGGTAAAACCATGAGCATAAACAGTCATTAGATGATGTGCTGATTTTTTTATTTGTGGTCCAATGGGCTCTTCAGCCATATACATTCCATTATATCTTATCTTATCTTATGAAAAGTTCAGTTTTCATTAAATTAAATCCATTTCGGCACTCAAGTACAACTGCTCATAGAATTTCAATTTCAAAGATTCCGGCTGTGTGATAAACTTGAGTTGCTCATTTATGTTGAGGCACTTTGTGGGTTCTTCTTTAGTTACGGGCCGCCAGTCAACCAGCTGCTTGGTGAGCGGTCCATTTGGATTGGAGCTGCGAGCAAACTCCGTAAACAGAGCTACAAAACGGCAGATGACCGCGTACTCCGGTCGAGTCTTCTCTAGTTTGAATGCAGCCGGCAGTTTGAAGAGATAGCCCAGTTCATCAGCATGCACAGCACCATGGCTGTCCTTTCCGAAAAAGCGCACCCGATAAAAATTAAAGTCAGGGGAATCAACGTCGAAGCGATATAGGTAATTAGCAGCCTGGCTATATTTCAGTCGCGCCTTGAGCAGTCGGTCCTGATAGTGCAGCATGTGGTGGGTGAAGAGGTCAGCGATCGACTGGAAATGCCACTTGTTCACATACGTGATATTCACGCCACAGAACTTCTTGACCAGCATACCGCCAAGGTGGCGAGCAATGTCGGGGGCACAGCCATGCCGTATGTAGGCCGGCAGCATGAACTCTGGATGATCCTTATGAAACTTCAGCACTTCCGGATCCTTTTTAACAGTAAACATGGCCTGGATCAGTCCCTCGCTGCTGGTGCAACCCATCATGAAGGGCAGACGATTGCCCCAAGCACTGCCCTGCAGAGCACGCGGCTGTTCGAGTACCACAGCAGTGGGAGTGGCATAATACTCTACACGGGGTAAAAAGAGTATGGGACTCTGCGTTCGCTCATACAGAGACCGATAATCTGACCGAATCAACAGCTCTGGATCCGTAGCATTTATGAACTTGAATACATCAATATCGTTCTTCTCGCCCTCATAGCCCAAGTGCCTCGCCAACTTATACTCTACGTCTGGATCATTATATATTTCGAGCTGATGTCCAGCCATCAGTATGGCCTTGTGGAATAGGCCTTCTGCCTGGGGACTCATCGTCAGCAAATGCACTATACAGCTACCCGAGCTGTGCCCAAAGAGCGTAATGTTGTTCGCATCCCCATTGAAGCTACCCACGTTTGCCTTGATCCACTTCAGGGCTAGAATAATATCCTTTACCCCAGCATTACCGGGTATGCGCAGAGACGGATCCGCAAAGCTTAAAAAGCCTGAGAAGATTTAGCATTATGTTTGCATCACAAATGTGTCTTGTGTACCAACCAAATGGACCCAGGCGATAGCCAATGCTTACGTATATCACCTGCTCGCGCATCAAGTAGTCAGGTCCAAGGCTACGCCTGGTTGCGTCTCCGGTCCTAAACATGCCTCCATGTACATATACCATCACAGGCAAAGGCTTTTCGCTTCTCAACTGTTTAGCATAAATCATGATTAATTCGTTTTCCTATAGCTGATGGACTACTCACACTTTTCGCCGCGATATTCAGATAAAGGCAATCCTCGCTGCCCTCAATTTGCTGTGAAATACTTCCTACTTGGAAACATTTGTCCTTCGGAACAGTACAGTCAAGAGTGCCTCGCCAGGGCTTCGCGTCCTGTGGCTCTCTGAATCGTAGCTCACCCAATGGTGGTTCAGCGTAGGGTATGCCATCGAAGCTGTAGTACAGGTCATCGTAGAGCGTAGTTAACAGTGCTCCACGTACGTGGCCATGAGTGGTTTGCACCACGGGAGAAGATTCACTGCTGCAGAGAACAAATATGTGTCAATAATGGAACTTGAATCGCAACGAAACATGCTAATACCTTTCCATTTCGAGCTCTGAGTTAACTAACTGCAAAGAATGTATGATTAGCTCCTAAATAAACCATTTATAGTAGATTGAAATCCGTGAACGCATTCGATTAGATAGTATTTTACTTAAGTGATAAAGAAGTGATGATAAGCTAATCAAACTTTTGAAATATTATAACAGTTTTATACCAACTACATAAATAGTATGAAGCATATAAAATAACTGGTGAATTATATATACATATGTACATACAAGCCAGCCTAAAGAGCTCTCATAATTATGTCATTGGCTTAATCTTTAGCCAATCTCAATGACCTCGCCATACCTGACAGTGTTGGACTAACACTTGCACTAGACTAGCTAATCAATCTATTGATACACTTGATATATCGTGAAAAGTTCAATATACAGGTAATTTAATGACTGTCAATTTGGAAATCAGTGGAGAGTTATTTGGCCTTGGTCTTATAGACGTTATCCCACACTCTCAACTTGGCTATCTCCGGCAGCTCGATGATTCTCAAATGCTCTCCAATATTCAAGCATTTCATATTCTTTTGACTCAATGGCGCCCAGGTGGCTTTGGTTATGGCTTCCTCAACGCTCTTGCAATTCGGATCTGAGGTGCTGGCGAAGGTGGTCAGGATGTCGATCATGCGTTCGATAGTTTGGAACTCGGCCGTGTGCTTGTCCAGCTTCCAGGAGAAGTCGCCGTACCAAATATACGAGTGATCATCCACGTGGGCCACGCCACGCATCTTGTCGCCGCAATACTTCAGACGCTGATGATTGAATGTGGAGGAGTCGAAGTCGAACCGATATAGATAGGTGGGCGCCGTGGCTCTTTCTATGCGCGACCTTATAGTGCGCATGATGGGATGCCAAAAGACCTTGTAGCTGGCGTACTGAAAGGAATTATATTCACGTGAGAACATGCCTTGATATCGATCTCCATCTACACTCACCTCACAATACGCCGCCACGGTGTCTGGTAGCAGCTCCAGCGGCTTATCCCGGAAGTGCGTGAACTGTATTCGCTTGCCCAGCGTGCGGGCCAGTGATTGTGGCAGCGATCGCTTCAGCTCCAGCGGCAGCAGATGCTCCGGCTGGTTCTTGAGGCTGGTGAGCAAATACGGCGACATATGCACACGGCCGTACATCAGCAAGCCCTCGAAGGAGGTGCCGCTCATCAGCACTGGTATCTTATTGCCCCAGGCATCGGCGAGCAGCTCGACGGGCGGCTTGCTTATCATGCAGTGTTCGGTGGCATAGGGCTCTACGACGGGCCCAAACTGAAACACACAATCGTCCAAATTTTCTGCTTCGCTCAGGAGATACGGCTTCACCAGAGCATCGCCGGGCAGACCCTGCAGGAACTCCAAGACCTTGAAGTCTGACGCGTTCTCGATCTTCTTCATGCCCAAATGCTCGGCGAGACGTCGCGCCAAATTGGGCACCGAGCATTGCGCCCAGGAGCACAGCACATTGCCCGACTGCATAATGGCCTTGTGGAAGAGGCCCTCGGCTTGCGGATTCAACATCAGATAGTGTACAGAGGCGGCGCCAGCGCTCTCGCCAAATGCCGTTACATTCTTGGCGTCCGCATTGAAGCAGAGTGCATTCTCTGTGATCCACCTGAGCGCCATTAGCTGATCCTTTAGGCCCGCATTGCCAGGCGCACCCGCAGCGGGATCGTTGAGGCTGAGAAAGCCAAGTGGACCCACGCGATACGAGACGGTGACCACGACCACATTTCTCATCATAAAATAGTCGGGACTGTGCAGGTCCGTGGTGGGGTCGCCCTTCTCGAAGCCACCGCCAAAGAAGAAAACAATCATCGGCAACGGCGCCTCCGTCTTCATCTGTATGCAGGTGAATGCACAATTAGCGTTATTTCAATAACAGTATTAGATCACTCGAGTCACTCACAGACTTCACATAGACATTGAGGTACAGACAGTTCTCCACGCCCTCCAGCTGCTGCGTGTATTGATTGAACTGCAGCGGCTTCTCGCCCTTCTGCCTGCAGATGAGCGGCTGCTTCCACGCCACCACCGGCATCGGCGCCTTGAAGCGGAGCACCCCGAGCGGCGGACGCGCATACGGTATGCGCTCGAAGCTGACGTAATCATCGCCGTAGATGCTCGTACAGTGTTTGCCCACAACGGGCCCACTTTTGGTCTGTACAACGGTTTCAACTGGACTGCAAACGATATTAGAATATAACTTATATGTATTTATATTTACAGTTATTGTAATGGAACTGCGCCAGCTACTCACCGCGGCATGTTCTGCGCCTTTGCGAGCTTACGTCTAGTCTGCCTGGGTGACGTGTTGCTGGTTTTGTTTTTATTTATGGCGCACCTCTTGCTTTTATCTAGATAAAAGCATTTATTGCGATATATTGCAGACTCTCGACCGCCTAAAACACCTCATAAACTGGCTTGGCAATGAGTGCAAAGCAGAGCGCCAGTAAAAGAAATTATCTGTAATATGTACTTTTAAAATATTACACACAGCTGATTTTGAGTTAGCTGCTTTGTTTGTTCTCGTTAAAAACTACATTAAAATACTGACAAATTGTCTGCGACTCTGATCGTAACGGTTGTTGTCGTTGCTTTTGTTGCTGTTATTTATCAGCAATGCACGCGACGCTCTCTTTGGTGTATGCTTCGGCGAAATGAGCGACTGCTCATACCAGGGCTGCACTGCCATTGTTTACAATCAACTCAAAGTGGCCAGCGTGAAATGTGTATAAATTATTTATTTAATATACATTTTTTCAGTTAAATAATTTTATTAAAAACTATAGTTTACATTGCGTGTTAAATATATATTGGCAATACATTATTTTTATTATTTCAGCCCACACTTTCTGTGTTACTGCAGCCCTGGAGAGAGAGAATTTTTGCTGATTCAAATACACTTGAATGTCGACTACACTGTGAGATTACGGCTGTGCTCAGTTGCAGAAAGTATACGAATTTTATGAGTCAACATGATTTGTGGTTTAATTTTATATATCTTTATAACCACGTAAAGCTTTGTTTTTTTTTTTTAATTTAACTAAATATTGTGATATGACAGATATTTATATAATTTTTAACCACATCTCATTAAGATAATTCGTAAATAGATTTCAAATTGCTGAAATTGCTGCTTATAAAATGTTGTAATTTTATTTTTAATTCAGACTTTGTACATTTTATTTAATATCAAAATAAGCCACATATTATAATACTTGATAGCAAAACCAAACTTTTAGCGAACTGCTGCTAATGTAATAAAAAAGCACCAAAATAAATGCAAAAGCTTTATTAAGAAGCTAGAGGTATTTTAATTACAACAACAGTTTAGCTTGAATATAATAAGTAAAAATTCGAGTCTCCAACGCCAGTCGCTGTATTTGTATGTGTCATGAAAGCATAAAGCTCACGACAATGCACAAGCCACTGCAAATGGATTAACAGCTGTTAAGCTGCGAGCGCTGTTAATGCGATGATAAGGCGTCAATGTTAATCGCTCATCAGCCGAATCTATTTTTATTTCGCTGAAAGTAGGATTTTCTATTAGAAATGAGAGTCGGAGAGATAAGTTTCGACCAGACGTTCAGAGTACGCTGCACACATATGGGGGAAAAAGCATACAAACATATATACACATATATAAATTCATAGGCAGATCACTAGCAATGCTCAATTTGCCGGCAACGGCGCGAAATTGTTTTAATTGCATTGCAACGGCCGATAGAATTGAAACAAGCAGAGCAAACGATTCGAAATCTATCGAATTTCGAAAATATCAATACATAATATTCGAAACAGGCTAGATACAGGTGCATACATACATACATATGTACTTATGTGCATGCATGCATAGATACGCACGCATACATACAGACATCGAGGAGCAATAGCAATGGATGTCCACATCGGGTTTCCCAAGCTGCTGCAGATGAGCGCCAAGTGAGTACAGCGAATCAGAATATATACAGGGTATTCGGCAGTCGGTGATCGAGCGACAATTCGTATATCAGCATGAATCGGGCATACAGATTGCGACTTAATGATCTTGAACGTTGGACCTGGACCACAGCGAGGCAGCAATCAGTAACCCGGCGTGTCGCGTCGCATCCCATTCCACCTCTTTGACTCTGTTATCTACTGTGACCATTTGTAATCTCTTTGCCCGCCACTCCCCATAGATTTGTCGGCCACAAGGTGCAGCAATATCGCCTGTCCACCAGCCACACGGTCGTCGTGGCCACCAACTATGGCCGGGTGCGGGGCCTGCAGCGCAAGACCGTCTACGACCAGGAGCTGTACTATGCCTTCGAGGGCATACCCTATGCCAAGCCGCCGCTGGGTGAGCTGCGCTTTCGTGCACCCCAGCCGCCGGACCCGTGGAAGAATGTACGCAACTGTACCACGTACGCCGAGAAGCCGCTGCAGCGCAACATGGTGCTGGGCCTGATAGAGGGCTCCGAGGATTGCCTCTATCTGAATGTGTACGCAAAGAGTCTGCGATCGGAGAAGCCGCTGCCCGTCATGGTGTGGATCTATGGCGGCGGCTTTCAGAAGGGCGAGGCCTCCCGGGATATCTACAGTCCGGACTACTTTATGAAGCAGAACGTCGTGCTGGTCACCATAAGCTACAGGCTGGGCGCGCTGGGTAAGTGGGGACTGAGGACGAAGCCTATAAAATCCAAAGTCTATAAGCTCTACGTCGACAGGCTTTCTGAGCTTGAAGGACCCGAAGCTGGATGTGCCGGGCAACGCCGGACTGAAGGATCAGGTGCAAGCGCTGCGCTGGATCAGCCAGAACATTGCGCACTTCAACGGCGACCCGAACAACATAACACTCATGGGCGAGAGTGCGGGCGCCGCATCCACGCACATCATGATGACCACGGAGCAGTCGCGCGGCCTATTCCACAAGGCCATATTGCAGTCGGGGTGTGCGCTGTCCGCCTGGGCGGATACGCCGGATCGCAACTGGGCCTTGAGGCTGGCCCGCCAGATGGGCTACAAGGGCAGCGATGCGGAGGAGGATGTGCTGCGATACCTGACCAAGGCATCGGCACGGAAAATCGCCTCGCACGACCAGGCGGTTGTGACGCAGGATGAGTTGCGGAGCTTCTATCTGTACGCCTTCGGCCCCATAGTGGAGCCCTATGAGAGCGAGCACTGCGTGGTGCCCAAGCCGCACAAGGAGATGCTGGCCAGCGCCTGGGGCAATAGCTTGCCGCTGATTGTGGGCGGCAACTCGTTCGAGGGCCTCTTCTCGTACCAGCTGGTGCGCAACGATCCCTGGGTGATGACGAACTTCCACAATATTATTCCGCGCGAGGTGAGCGAGTCGAGCACGCCGGAGCAAGTGGAGCAGCTGGTGCGCAGGCTCAAGCAGCTCTACTTCGGGGACGAGCAGCGGCAAAGCATGAAGCTATTCGAGGCGCTCGACATATTCTCACATCGGCAAATCTGGCACGATCTGCATCGCATGGTAATGGCTCGGCTGACCTATGCGTCGGACACGCCCACCTACCTCTATCGCTTCGACTTCGACTCGCCGCACTTCAATCAGTTTCGCTGGCTCGTCTGCGGCGAGCGTGTGCGCGGCGTTTCTCACGGTGACGATCTCTCCTATCTCTTCTACAATGTGCTGGCCACCAAGCTGAGGAAATCCTCGCCGGAATATCTGACCATCCAGCGCATGGTGGGCATGTGGACAGCCTTTGCGGCCAACAGTGATCCCAACTGCTGGGCCACCGACTCCAGCAAGTGGATGCCAGTGCAGCTGACTCCGGATCGAGCTCACAACTGCCTGAACATCAGTGCCGAGATGGAAATGATGGCTCTGCCCGAGGCCCAGGCGCTGGCCATATGGGACACATTCTACGACAAAGACGCTCTCTATTGAGCTATTCCAGTACTAGAAATTCAAATCTCATGTGCGTAAATACCTAACCAACAGACGATAGTCTTCTAGACTATATCTCTGTATGTGTGTGTATGTATGTATGTACGAACTCGTCAAGTATCGTGCGATGGCAATGTTGTTACTAAGGTCTATCAAAATTCCCCGTTAAGCTAATACAAATTTTTAATATGAAAAAGTAACTCTTTGAATTTAAAACTAATGTATGACAATTTAAAAAGGTTAATCTAAATGTTTTATATTTAATGAATGGAGTTTATTAAAAATTTAAAAGTAAAATAATTATAAAAAAGCTTATATAAATATTACATAATATAAAATTAAAAAAAAAAAAATGTTAATAATATATATATCATAGGATATCAAGTATATCAAGTTCCAAAGGGTCAACATGGGTAATTCATATCACCACTAACCAGAGATATCACTAACCATATCTAATTCATATCTCTGGTTCGTGTTCATATCTAACAGTCGTAAAGCTTGATGCAATTCCTTCATTAGGGCTGCCCTACACGCTACGACATTTCGACATTTGCTGTGACGTGTGTGGACCGCTGTAAGCCCATTCTGATCGAAATTTGCTATAGTCGAATGCAACTCTGAAGTCGATTATTTTACGAACTTCCGGTTCTGCTTAAATTGTTCTTTTCCGTTTGGAAGTCAGAGTGAACAGATCAGCTTCTGGATATGGGAAATATGTGAAAAATAATTAACTAAAATATTATATATTAACTTTATTAGATTAGCTTGGAGCAGTGGAATAGAATCAACGAAAGGAATTGATGGAATTATTCGTAAGGGTAAGTGCAGAATTTGACTATTCAAGAACTTAACTGAGTTGATTCCTAATCAACTCGAGTGTAAATAAATTTGATCGGCCGCCTTATTTACTTTAATTGCTTTTGTTTAAAATCGTATGTGGCGTCTGCCGACTGGCATTGTAAATATTTTTGAAGAAGTCGCAATTGTGGGGCGTCTCACGTTTTCTTAGAAATGCGCGCAGACGCCGAAAAACAATTGTTTGTCTGTGTGTGTGAGTGAGTGAGTATGTGAGTGACTTGTGCTAGACAAATAAATTTTCTCGCATAATAAAAGGAAACCCAAGAACAGTCGAACAGATTTTGTTATTGTCTTTGCTACAATTAGAGGTGACAGCATAAAAAGACAAATTTGTGTGCAATTTAAATACAAATAAAATGTATTTAAAGTCTACATTTTATATTAATTTATTTCTATTCAATTTTCAATCATTTTACACATTTAAATGCTGCAAACACAGATGTTGATGTGTGTGTGCCTTACTAGCAATTGTATTTCTACCATAGTTTTATTCAAATAATTTTTTTTATTATTATTTGAATTATATTTGCATTATTTATTATAGCCTTCATAAATTTCTCAACTAAAAATTGTTTTATGGACTTTTTTCAATTTCTCATTATGTACATACAATGAATACACTTGCATGCGCAGCGTTGCCAACATACAAAAATGTTGAAGAGCTGGCTGGGCAATTAGAATATAAATGCAAGAGTAATAATTATATTATTCCGTTTATATTTATACGTCTAAAATGTGGACATGGCAGGCAATTCGAAATTTAATGAAATAGTTACATATTGAAATAAATTTATTGAGTGAGCACATAATAAATAGTTTAAGAAAATGTACTCTTATTTTGTTTATACTAATACGCATAATTGCTAGGAATTTTAATAGAATACCAAAGCCATTTAAAAGTGTTTCATTACATTCCCTTAATTCTCGCTTGATGTATCATGTGCAGCAAAGCAAGAATCAAACAAATGAGGAGCTGGCAACACAAGGTAATCCGAATTTTGATGCATACAATAATAATATTTAAATACACATGGCAATAAGCTTGTATTGATGGTCAATTTTATTTTTATTTATTTTTATATTATTTGATTATTATTTTTTTACTTTTAGGTTTATTAACAAGTGTTAATTATTTTATTATTATTTTTGGTAAATGATATTAATTAAAAAGTGTTAATTCAATAATTGAAATTTAAACGGTGCTACGACTAAAATCGACTATTGTATTTTGCTAGTGTGAAATGTTATAAAACACAGTGTGCTATTTATAACAAGTAAGAACGTTGCAGTCGGACGTTACCGACTGCGGAATACTCATTCACATCCCATCAACAATTTAGTAGTTAAGTTTCGCTCTAATACTGTAGAATATACAGGTTTTTCCGATTTGCCACGCCCCAACTGGGCGTAGACACCTCATTTTTGGTCAGTTTTTAGAAAGAGATAACGGTACCCTAACTGCAAAGTTTGAATGCTTACCCTCAAGAAATGTGAAAATTACAGGGTATTTTTCGATATGCCACGCCCCTAAAGAGACGTAAAAATTATTTTTGGGGAATCGATAGGGAAGGCTACCAGTAACTCAACTATCCAAATTTGAAGCTTCTAGCTATTATACTTTAGGAGATATAAACTTTTGCGGTTTGCCACGCCCCCTGTGGGCGGACATATATCCGACAAAACTTTTTGGTCTTGGGTGATCAGTTCGAGTATATATACAAAATTTGAGGTCTCTGCCATCAATAGTGTCCAAAATATAGGACAATTTAAAAAATCACTATATCTTCAGGTCCGATTTGCCACGCCCCCAATGTGCGTAGACTTATAATTTATCTTTAGACTTTATAGAATCATACCATTAGCTGACGTGCAAAATTTCAGCATTCTAGGTTTACAACTTTAAGAGATACAGTTTTATCCGATTTGCCACGCCCCCAATGGGCGTAGATATATCCGCCATAGCTCGTGATCTTGGGTGGTCAACGCGGACCTACATACCAAATTTCAGCTTTCTAGCTCTTCAACAAACATGATTTCTGGTATATCGGAAAATGCATTTTCCGATTTGCCACGCCCCTAGTGGGCGGATCGGGAAAATTTTAACACTTTATAAATCGGAGATATACACGAGTATGTGTTCCAAATTTCAAGTCTCTAGCTTCAATAGCGCCGAAATAGATTGCGTTCATACGGACAGACGGACAGACGGACAGACGGACGGACAGCAAGACGGACATTGCACAAAACCAATATACTAATTCACTTTCGTGAATGAGTATAAAAAGTATATTCCTTAAGAACATTTTTTAATATACATGTGTAAGTATTCTCTCTATTATCGCATTGCCAACACATATTCAACTTATTTTCAGCCCTGGCAGCACAACCACATATACACAGTCAAAGACATTCAAAAGCTAACGAATGCAAATGATATCATATGAGTGTCAGCATTGCCAGCATCAAATAAATCAGTGCACACGTGTCACGGCAATGCCATTGGAAGGTTGTTCTGCTTCACTCTTAATTTGCGTGCAGTTCAACTTTTTGCACTTATCAATTATGGCTGTTTGTTGTCAACTTTTCAACTTTTACCTCACAATTTTACAACAACAACAAATCCCAATCAATGCGAAAAATGTGCGTGCGTGTGAGCGCCAATAAAAGTTTGCCGAGTGCCGCCAACGAATGCCAAAAATGTGAGAGCAAAAAATGTTAACAATGTCGATACAAATTGCTGAACTTTCCAGCTCCCAAAATGAAAGCGAAATTCAAATTATGAAAATTGCAAACAAGTGAAATTTTGATGACCTATCAAATAAATAAGGTCTTTATTTTTTTTTGCATTTATTTTAGTTAAAAATGTTTGCATTCTGCGCTTTAAGCTTTGAGCTTCGACTGTTAATTAAAAATTGTCATAAATCCTTATGGAGTTTAACCCATTTACAGTCGACTGGGCTGGTGAGAAATGGCAATAAGCATTTTGGGTTAATGCTTGCCAGAGTCCTTTTTATTTGCTCTCCCACTCGCAAGGATTTTGCGTATTGCTCAAGTACTTAATTACACTTGCGCGCACTTTAATTTTCAGCTAAAAGAGCGAAAGAGTGCGATGTAGAGAGAGAGAGAGAGAGAGAGAGGGTTGGTGAGGGGTAGGTCCTTATATAAAGAAATGTAAATTAGGCTGCCAAGTCAAAGTGAGCCGAAACCTTGTAAATTATAGGCTTAAGCTGCTGTCGGGACCAACTCCTCCTCATTTGGGTTACATGCTGCTCAGCTCAAGCTTCTCGTTTGGAGCTGAAGCAGTCTCAAGAGCCTGTCTGCCCGAAAGGCTTATTAAATTATGCGCATATAACGACGGGCAGGCATACTCCAGTCAAGCTTTGGAATCTAATCTCGCTCTAAGCCAGATGCCCCTCAAAATTTGACACTCGCTCGCAAGTAAATTGAATGTCGCTGGGGTTAAGCGAGAGTATCCCGAGCAGCCGATGCCTGATATATGCAGCACTCATAACTGCCTCGCCATAAAATCAAAGTACAGAAAGTCCAGCTCCAGATTGGGCATCAAAATACGACTGCAGTGCATAAAAATAATTTGGGTACGATTCAACTTTATGTTTTTCTTTTCGTTTTTTGCTTTCATTTTTATTGCAGCCAGGGGAATTCGCTCTATGAATTTGAGGTTTAGATGTTTTCATATATATGTATGTATATATGTATATTTTTTTGCAAACTATTTGGAAGTCGAAATTGAAGACAAATTTCAATGCGTTCGCATTATGCGTATTTTGTTGTGGGTGCGTTCAAGTTTTCAGGACTAGCACAAAGGAAAAGATTAGAATTGAGCATTGATTTGTATGCCCAAGGGACGCGTCTCTTAGCAAATGCTATACAGCTTAAATGTGCACAGAGAGAAACGCTTTAGTTTAATTCGTTTAATGTCAAGCAAACGTTACATCATGTCGAAACACTTATAAATTAATCAATTAAAAAGTCCGTAGTAGAAATATATTTATCATAATTTGAGTTTCTATTATCAGCAGGGACATCAGCGCATAGCCTTGTTTTTTTTTTTTTCACAAATCAAATTGAAGTCCGTTCATAATTAAAGAACGGAGGAAACCCCAAAACAATGCAGCTACCCTGGCAAAAAAGCCTATTAGCCGAGACCCAAAAGATTCAAACTTTATAACCAAATTTTGTTGTTTTCTATTTTCTATGCTCGTTCACGAAGTTGTAAAGGGTATATTCGTTTCTTCATGAATATAAAATCGGGAAATACTATATTCTTTGATGCGATATTAAGTATGGAGGATGAGAACTAATGCGTATTCGTCTATAGAGGTTCAGCTCAATTAGTTGGCGAATCAGGTTTAATTCTATTGTCTGTTCAGCTTTATGGAATTCTTTCGAGTTTGTTTGGCCATAAGCGATATATACACCATATGTATGATATACAATTTATGATGAATATTGAAATGGAATAATGTGTAACGTAAGGTATGATAAAAGATGAATTTATGATCTTTAATAAATGACAAGTTAAATAATATTTTCTCTATATGATATATGATGCTTAATCAATATTATTAGCGTATGATAAATAATAGATAATTTATGGACTCGAACTAGAAACTTAAAATTTGTTAATTAAGCTCCATCTAATGAATGCTATAAATGATAAATCCAAGTAGACCTATAAGCTATAAAGAGACTTCATTGTGATTTTCTTGAAAATATTGATATCCCCTTTAAATATTATAGGACTGTTTTTCAATCGTGAACGGGTGTTAGGCAGTCAGGCATCCACGACTGCACTGTTCTCATTTTGTTTATTCTATGCTTTTGTCATATTTCCCAGAAAGCAATTTGGTTAAAAGCAAATGAGTAATTATTAAACAGCTGAAGTCAAGTCCAGGGTCTGCAAAAAAAAAAAAAAAAAAAAAAAAAAGATAGAAAAAAAAGGTAAGAAACCAAAAGTTGGCCAAGACAAAGGCAAAATGAAGCCAAAAGCAAATTGAAACTTGAGCAGCATTTTTAATAAAATTTACAATGGGCGAAGGAATAAAAAAAGAATTACATAAATTAAGTTGTGGCAGGGGCGGGAGTTAGCCTTCCTGCTGCCCCGTCAATTGGCAAATAATGGACTCTTCTTATTATTAACTGAAACGCTTTTTGATCTGCCCAGGCAAATTACACGCTACAACGCGTCGTTGTACAACACTGCAAACGGACTTGATGCAATGCAGCGCAGGCCATATAACACTCTTCGCTGTCTTTGGGGACGAGGGGATTTAAATGTCGTCTGTGGCGTTCACTTTGATTAAATATGCACACCACAGACAGACAGAGAAAGACACACAGACAGACAGCGGAGAGAAAGAGAACGAGGTGAATGGGGAGTGGATTTTGTGGAGCAGCGCATTAAAATGCCGCAACAATGCGGCAGCAGGGACAACTGCAAGTGGCTGTCGCTTTGCCGTATCCTTAGACAAGTCAAATAGCGAGAGTTGGACAAGAAAGCGCAAAACAAGTTGGCGAATTTTCGGCAACTGCAGCGTGTCCTCTGACAGGATATAAAACAATCAGCGCAAGCTAGCGGAAACGGAAGTGTTGCTGCCAGCCACACCCCCGCGCCACCAATGGGGGCGTAACGAATTGCAGCTGCTATGCCAGTTCTCCTTGTGGCGGTTGTGAATTGTAGTCCAAATGCTGTCCCATCCTGCTCCTGGGAGATACCACAACACAGGACTCGCTCGCCTGCCGTCTACCGTTTGACTATTCTCCGTTTTTCAGCTGCCTGCCGCCTGCATCGGGTATATTAATATGGCAAATTGAAATTTCACGCTTTGTTGCCGAACGTCCTAGGACTGACGTCTAGTTTTTGTGTGCCGCCACCACATTTGGCTTGTGCCAGTGGCGCTGCAGCTCATGTGGTTTGCAGTTTGATTTATACTCCATGGCACTTAATTAATTGGCCTTCAAACTATTTTCAGTCATTCTTCGGCACAACGAAACCCGACAGTTGAAAGGATAAACATCGGCTATGGTAGCCATCGAAACAATTTGCTTTGCTATTTTTGCAATTGGCAGCAGGGATATGCTGAGCTGAGGTAAGCTTACGGAACGATTCACTGAAGAATTTTTGGGATTTTGGAAAATACGTCCGCGTTGCATTTGGTGAGCCACAAGAGAAGCATTCAAATTCCATTTTTGTTTAATTATTCCTTTTTTTACCTTAAATAAATATTTAAGCTGAAGCAGCAAGCTCTCTCTTGTCGGTCTATACAAAATGCATGGGTATAACTTACTTATTGATGAAAAATAAATATTCAACTTGAGAGAGACGTATTAAAAAAATATATATATTATAATATATATATATTATACCGATAAAAAAAACCTTCCAAGCAAAATGCTAGATGAAGGATTGTCTAAACTAACATATATTAATAATTTTAATTTTTTCTAGCACTTTAAATAATAGAACTTTGTGCTATATGCGAATACAATCTTTTGTTTTTTACCTATTTGCCATATACCTCTCATTAATAAGATGAGAGTATCAACTAAAATAATTTCAAGACTGCAAATCTGCATTAGTGGTAAAGTAGTTTGGTTTCTTGAGCTCCAGCTCATGACGAGTGAGTGAATAAGATATATATATGTATGCATATGTGTATAAACATTTTTAAAATATTTATTATACAGTCAAATATATATTATTATACATATCGAAAAAAGTTCTATCCCCTTGAAAGAAATTCGTTCTCAATAATTCTTGTTTATTAAAATATCTGTGTAAATCGAAAAAAAAAAAACTGGTCTTGCCATTTTAAACGATCGTGATTCTACTATATTATTATTTCTCATAATATGCTTTAACAGTTTTGTGTGCTCATCCAGATTTGCATTTGTATTATATATTTATTAATATTTATTTATTTATATATATTTTGCATAATTACGAGTAAACTTTATTATTTAAATTTATTTATTTTAAATTTATTTATTTAAATTAACCAAATTTTATTATGTTTTATTTATTAAATTATTATTTTTGTTTTTATTAATTCTTATATATATAATTTTTACTCGTTACGCAATGTTGTCACTTGGTTCCTTCGTTATTAACACCAGAGAATTTCAATTAGATTATGCTCAATTATATATCATATATAGTATGTCAGCGCGTCATCAGGATATCGTTCGCCTTCGTCAAAATTGAATACATTGAATATTTAACTATGACCTCCAAACACAAATTCTTTCCTGAAGATTGTTTATTTGTCGTACCTGATTAATTGGATTGAGTTTTCTTTTTTCACTAGATTTAGCAGTGTGCAAATATTACTCCCTTATGGGCGTGGCCAGTCAAAACGTCTGCCGCTTGTACAGTGCTGGAGCCTAATTCAATACGTATAACTTCGCAGTTACTATGGACCAACGCTTCAGATCTACGATAGGTAACATATCAATGCTTTTCGAACGTGGTGCTAAATCGAGAAAAAACTATATATTGAACATCTTTCATCTTATATTTGGATTTTCCAACATATTTACACATCGAATAGTAAATCTCCACTGGTGTTTAGAGGATCAGAAACGATTTCGGCTCCTTTATAACCGTAAACGAGCATCAATATTTTAACTTTGTTTTTCTTTTTTCAGCTCCATTTTGTCTAGCTTTTATAAAAACTATTCGCTGCTATCGCCCTCCTCACTATGCATGTCAAGCACTTGTAAGTTTTTGATATTCCTTAACAGCAATTGTAAAACTAATTTGATAAAAAAGTTTCGCATAGTTATTATACCCTGAACCCATTGAAAATGGGAAATCAGGGTATAATGGTTTTGTTAAAAGTATGTAACAGGCAGAAGGAGGCGTGGCAGACCCCACAAAGTATATATATTCTTGATCAGGGCGACGA